TAATTACACAATTCTCTGAAACAATTAGCCAGCCAGTTGGGTCTTTCCCTACATGTCCACAGCCCTGTTTCAGCAAGCCCAACTATCCATAAAACCCACATAGACTTGTTTGTGTGTGTTACTCTATTGATGGGAGACCCCGTTGGCAGGCTAATCCATATATCATGAAATTGTTGCATCTGAGAGATTCAGTGACAGGTAACTGGAGCCGGAGAGGTGTTGTGACAGACCCTAGAGATGGAGCTGGCCGCCAACTGAGGACTGGAGCGGTGGGGCTCACTCCAACCCAAAGGGGAGAAACAAAACGTCCTGTTAGAGAGCAGTGAAGCAGCAGGTTCACTTTCCTCCTTTGTGTCTTGGGGCGCAAGATCCATTGAGCCTTGGCAGGGAAGCATTAGAATATTAGTTTATTAGCTGCTTCCTATTCTGTCTTCAATGAGGTAGTTCAGGCAAGACACAAGTTTTGTTCTGAGCTGGCCTATCTGAAAGGTGAATGGAACCAGCAAGATGGATGTACAGCACTGTCAAGAGGGCCCACTTCTGCCCATGGCCAGGGATCCAAGATTTCTGGGAACCAGACACTTAGGCACCCTGCTGGATTTCAAAGACTGAACCCTCTGCCCCAGGCTAAGGCTGGTGTGAGCCAAGGCAGGCATGAGGGAAACATGCAGGAGATAAGACGGGGGCAGTATTTTTATCCCTACATTTGCTTGCTCCATTTTATAAGTGAATCTTGCTTTTCCTCTCACATCTATAATGCCAGCCCCTATCTCTCCCTTGAACTTCAAAGTCATATTAGCCAAATATTTGCCACATATTTGGAAGCCTTATAAGCATCACAGTTGCTCTTTTCCTATTTCCCCAGTTCAGACTGTAGAAATCTGGTGGACCTGTCGGAAGCCTAGGAGGGATTCTAATCTCCCTCTTTCAGTTGGTACAAATTCTTTCCAATGAAAGCTCTCAGATATTTCTCATCTTATCCCCTATTTCCTAATCCTTTCTGCCCTGGCTTATTCTTTGGTCATCTCTCACATGAAACTATCACTATAGTTTCCTAAATTGTGGTTTCTCTGGCCTTAGTTTTGCCTTCCTGAAACAATCTTCTATATGGCCACCAGAATGATCTTTCTAGAAACAATTTTTTAAATGTTTTTTATTTACTTTTGAGAAAGAGCAAGATAGAGCACAAGCAGGGAAGGAGCAGAGAGAGAGGGAGACACAGAATCTGAAGCAGGGTCCAGGCTCTGAGCTGTCAGCACAGAGCCCGATGCGGGGCCTGAATCCACAAACTACAAGATCATGACCTAGCCGAAGTCAGACTTAACCAACTGAGCCACCCAGGTGCCCCTAGAATGATCTTTCTAAAACACATGTTGTACCTGATAGTCTTCAGTTGTGTTTCTCAATTGAAATGGTAGCCTGCAGTGTTGTTCCAAGATATATAAAGTCACCTGAAAAAAAAATTGGGAGGAGGGCAGAACATGACTTCATTATCTTTATATTAAAACAAATACATTTTAATTAGATTTATCGTGGTCATCATTTCACAATATATGCAAGTATCAAATCGTTAAAAAATTTTTTAATAGAGTTTATTTTGAGAGAGAATATGTGTGCACGAGAGCAGGGGAGGGACAAAGAGGAGAGAATCCCAATCAGGCTCCACATTGTCACTGCAGAACTGGACGTGGGGGCTCAAACCTGCGAACTGCGAGATCATGACCTGAGCCGGGATCGAGAGTCTGATGTTTGACAGACTGAGCTACCCAGGTGCCCCTGAAAATCACTTAACCCAAAACCAAACCAAAACAAATATGTACTGTAGAATGGGCTGCAAAACTTTGCACACATTTTAAAAGAACTTCACGGACATTTCATGAATGTGGTGGGCTATTTCAGGATATGCCTCCACCCACATCCCTTTTTCTCAAATTTACTGTCATTAGAGGCTTCTTAGAAGAAAGGTTTGAGAAACACAGGTGTATGGGGAAATGTTCAGGTTCTTTATCATAGCTCATCAAAAAGATCAGCAGAACCAGACTCCACTTTTCACCGCCGAATTTCCCCCCATTGTCCTTGAAATACTGAATAGCTACTAGGTGTGTAGAGACCATGTTTTGAATGCCTCCTTGCCTTCCACACACGCTGTTCCAAATAGAACACTTTTCCTTGCTTCCTTGACTGCCTAACTCACATTCCTTCCAGAGTCCCCTCAGGCAGCACATCCTCCAGAATCCTCTGACTTCCCCTGGTCCCCCAACAGCTGTCTGGGCTCCGCCCACTATGCATACATTATCACTACAAGTTAGGGGTTGAAACCTTATTCTACTGTGCTCATATTTTCCTTCATGGGGACATCTTTCATTTCGTTCTCCTAGAAAGGCTGTTTTATTATTTTTTTAATGTTTATTTTTGAGAAACAGAGAGACAGAGTGTGAGCAGGGGAAGGGCAGAGAGAGAAAGAGACACAGAATCTGAAGCAGGCTGAGCTGTCAGCACAGAGCACGATGTGGGGCTCGAACTCACAAACCGCGAGATCATAACCTGAGCCGAAGTCAGCTGCTTAACCTACTGAACCACCCAGGCGCCCCTAGAAAGGCTGTTTTAAAGCGAGTACTTGGGCCTTATCTCAGAAGCTCATTACCTCTCTCAGAAGACAGAGAGAGATTCATCTGAATGGTGAAATTGGTCAGATTTGACTTCTGTAGACCACACTGGCAAGGAGGCTGAATGGCTTCCATAAAAAGGCAACTTGGGCCATCTCTGGGCTCTTTCTCTTACAACATCTCTTATGTGCTCTACGAAAGAAGGGCCAGCTCTCTCTGCTTCTTCCTCCAAAATAGTGAGCACATGTGGCAAGTCATCCCCTTTGCGGGTGTGGCCCCACCATTGTCCAGCTGCTCTTTCGATAATGGGGTGGAGGTAAGTTAACATAGGTAGGGAAGTAGGACATCCCAGTGCACTCTGCAATACACCCGTTGTCAGACAGCCCCAAATAAAACTGACAACCAGTGGTTGGGACTGATGTTATCTATGTGTATTCCTAATAAGTTAAAACCCAAGGAGAAGGAAATTTGTAACATCTGAAATATCACAATGATTTAAATTATCAATTAAGTTAGTTCTATCAGTTAGCCTATAAACTTCCCGAAGGCAAGAACTACCCTATCTTTTTTCATTGCTGTATGTCCCTTGATACAGAATAGTTGGCACGTAAAAGGTGCTTAATTATTTGTCAACTTTTTTCTGATTAAAGAAGCAATGCCACATGATTCTAGAATGAAAGAATTCTGTAAAAATAGGAAATAAAAACTGATCCAACAAACTAAAGATTATATATTAACAACATGTAAACTTGTATACTTACTCTTTTTTACTATCTGGGTGGTTTTTGTTTTTTTTTTTTCCAAAAAGGAAATTATTTTATGCATAGTTTTGTTTTTAAAAAAACAGTTGTGGGGCGCCTGGGTGGCTTAGTCGGTTAAGCGTCCGACTTTCGCTTAGGTCATGATCTCGCGGTTAGTGGGTTCGAGCCCAGCGTCGGGCTCTGTGCTGACTGCCAGCTCAGAGCCTGGAGCCTATTTCAGAGTCTGTATCTCCCTCTCTCTCTGACCCTCCCCTGCTCACGCTGTCTCTCTCTCTCTCCTAGAAATAAATAAAAATATTAAAAAAAAAATAAAAATAAAAAAACAGTTGTTTTTGCAACATTAAATATAATCTTCTTCTATAAGATGACTTTCACAGTTGCATAGTATTGCACTGATAAATGAACAAAAAGTAGCCCATTGATAAATATTTATCGCACATTTGTCGAAGCATTTTTTTCATGTCCTTTGCCATATGGTTTACATGCATTATTGCATTACTTCTTCCCAACTCTGGAGCAAGGAATTTCTTTTAAGTTTATTTATTTTGGAAAGAGTGTGAGCAGGGGAAAAGCGGGGGGGGTGGGGGGTGGGGAGAATCCCAACCAGGTCCTGCACTGTCAGCATAGAGCCCAACTCAGGGCTCGATTCCACAAACTGTGAGATCATGACCTGAGCCAAAATTAAGAATCGGACTCTTAACTAACTGAGCCACCCAGGGGTGGGGCAGGGTTTTTTATATATCCATTTATACATGAAGGAACAGAGGCTAACAAACATTAAATAGCTTGTCCAATGTGAACACAAGTATTAAGTGGCAAAACTGGGATTCAGTTGTATATGATTTAACACCAAAGTCACTATAACTTTTAAAAAGATATTCTGGGGGGCGCCTGGGTGGCTCAGTCGGTTAAACATCAAACTCTTGACTGCAATTCAGTTCATGATCTCATGATTTGTGACATCAAGCCCCAAGTCAAGCTCTGCACCGACAGTGTGGACCCTGCTTGAGATTCATTCTCTTTCCCACTCTCTCTCTGCCCCTCTCCCACTTGTTATCTCTCTCTCTCTCTCTGTCTCTCAAAATAAATAAACTTAAAAAAAATAAAAGAATATTCTGTAATTTATTTAACATATTTCCATTGCTGGGCATTTAGGTTGTTTCTTATTTTCTTAGGATAATAAGCAATGCTGCCTTTATTAAACATCCTTCAAGCCAAACCTGTGTATCTATTTCTGGTCATTTTCTTCAGATAAATTCTTAAAAGTGAATTTTTTGGCTCAGTCGGTTTTTCCCTTTTAATTGTAAGTCTAATATGTGCACAAAATGGAAATTTTGGAAAATATTAAACAGCACAAAGTAATAAAGCAGAAACCATTTATAATCATTCCACCTTCCAGATAGTACTATAACATCTCACTCTTTCTCCAGCCTTTTATGTATATCATATGTACATATTTATATATGAACTATATACATACACACATGCACATGTGAACACACACAGGCACACATAGAGTGTTATATATAGCTACATCAAAGCATATATTTTACTTTTTTGTTATATATTATAGAAAATTGTATACTACTGATATATGTATATATAAACATGTACACATATGCTTTCTTTGCAGGTAATCAATTAATTAACTGTAGAAATCATATTTTGGAATTTAAGGAGAAAATTCTACATCTAAAAAACAAAACTGAAAGAAATCGCCAAGAGCTGATCGATGCTTTGAGAAAAGTCAAGTATGAAATGACACAGAGAAAAAATATGTCCTTGAACTTAGGTTTGTGATGCTTTTGTTTTTGTGTGTGGTGGTTTGTTTGTTGGATTTGTGTTTTGTGTTTGGAAATTTAGATTTTGTGCTTTCTGATTTTAGGACATTTCTCCCCAACCAACAGAACTAAATTAGTGCTTGTTCTTTTATTGTGAGACATATAAAAATCAGGTAAAATATATCAGTGATATGCCTCTTCTCCTCTGTAGCTCAGAAATGGTCTTCCTGTGTTTTCGGTGTGAACTGCACCGCCGTCGTGTTCTGTCCAAAAGACACAGCCACAACCCTGAGCATTACTCTGACCCCTCCCCCGTCCCTCTTGCTTATTTCCATTTCAGTCAGCAAGCAGTCGTGTATATTCATAATCCTATGCACTTCACAAATCTGTCCACATTTCCTGTCACCGTCTCTGCTGCTCCAGTCAGGACACCTTCATGCTTCATCTGAATGACTGCTAACATTTCCATTTTGTTCTCTCTTCAGACTTGTCCCCACCTGTCTATTTCCACTGTAGCCTAAGTGAATGCTCACTGTCCTGTCTGTCATCCTGCAGTGGCTCCCATTTCTCCAGTAAAAAGTCCTGCCTCTGTTTCTACTTTTGTGGTCAGGTACTCTCTGCTCTTAATTCTTTGCAACCACTAATCATCAGCTCTCTGTTATAGTTTTCCCTTTTCCAGGATGCCATACAAATGGAATCATATAGTGTGTAATCCTTGGAGACTGACTTCTTTCACTTAGCAAAGATTCACTGAAGTTGTAATGTGACTAACTGTTGCCTCTATTGCTGAGTAGCATTTCATCATATGGATGTAGAGTGAATACAGTCTGTTTATCCTTTGCCAATTGAAAGACATTTGGGTTTCTGTTTTTTTGGTGATTACAAGTGCATGTTGCTATAAGCACTTATATATAGGTTTTTTGTATGAAGAGAATTTTCTTTAGCATATATATACTAAATATATACATATACATATATATATATATATATATATTTCCTGAATATATATCGGATGGATATGTGATTTGGAAATGTTTTTCCCAAACTGTGGCTAATATTTTCCTTCCCCTTCAGAAAGCAAATATTTTTAATTGTGATGAAGTCTAATTTATTAATATTTCTTCTTTTTTATTGTGTTTTTGATATTATCTTTAAGAATTCTACCTACCCCAGGGTCATGAAGATTTTCTTTTATATGTTTATTTTAAATTTTATAGTGTTTTGCTTTACATTTAGGCCTATGAAATCTTTGAGCTGATTTTTACAAATGGTGTGAAGTATAGGTCAAGATTCAATCGTTTTCATCTGAGTGTCCAAGTATTCCAGCACCGTTTGTCAAAAAGGTTGTCCTTTCTGCATTGAATTACCTTTGTACCTTTAAAAAAAATCAACTGACAATATTTATATGAATCTCTATTCTATTCCATCAGTCTGTGTATCTTTTTGTAATGTAATACCATGCTGTCTTTTTTTTATAAAGTCTTATTTATTTATTTTGAGAAAAAGAGAGAGAAAGCAGGCAGGGGAGGGGCAGCAATAGAGGCAGAAAGAGAATCCTAAGCAGGCTCTGCATTGTCAGTGCAGAACCTGATGCAGAGCTCAATCTCACAAACCGTGATATCATGACCTGAGCCTAAATCAAAAGTTGGATGCTAAACTGACTGAGTCACCCAGGCACTCCAATATCATGCTGTCTTGAGTACTGTATTTTGTATTATGAATTAAATTAGATAATGTGAGACTTTTAATTTTGTTCTTTCTCAAGTTTGTAGAGGTATATTCAAATGAATGGTACAAGGGAGTAACTAAATGTTTAGCTACAAAACAGTTATAGAGATACAAACTTCAATGGATATTAATCTGAATAGCAGATCAAATCAATTATAGCATGTTTCAGTTATACTTCATTTGGAACCGACAGTTCTGTTAGTCTCTGGTTGTGTAGCTCAGAGTGCTAGACTTAAATATTACTTTTTAAATAAATATGAATCATCACTTCTAGGCCTTTTGGCTAAGATCAAGTATAGTATATGTTCTTATCAGTTTAAATAAATAGGGATCAATAATATTTGAACTATATATTATAGCCAAATGATTTTAATAATTCATATTCAACTGTATTTCTCTTATATATTGAATATTCATTAATCTGATCATTACATTATGAGAAATTATGCCAAAGAGAAAAATCTCTGTAGTCATGAACTTAGAAACCCTATCTTTTCTCTCTTTCAGTTGAGAAGAAAATTAATACATTGGGTAAGAATGAAACAGTGTCTAATACATTTGAAGTCATAAAGTTCTTTTTTCCTCATCTAAGGAAAGTTGGCAGAATTTATCCTGATGTAATCATTGGCAAAGAGAAAACAGGTGGTAAGCAAACTTAGATTTAGAAAATCATCAAATATATGTATTTTGATCTTGGAGGACATGCTTTTAAGTTTTTTTAAACACTTCTTCTTATTATTATTATGCATGCTTTTACATTTTAAAATGTAATCCATTGATATAATACTCTGATATATAGATCACCAGCCAATGTGGCATTAATTTGGACTGCCAGAAATCAGTACGTACATTATCTGGCAGAAAAAACAAGTTCAATAGACATTTGGAGACTTGAATTCAAATTCGATTTTAATACAGATGTTTTGAAAACAAGTCATTATAAGTCACATACACATGAGACTTATATGAAGCATCTGACAACCCTTGTCTCCTTTGGTTTTGATAAATGCATTCTTATTTGGTTATCTTCCTCTTTCCCCACCTTTCTGGGGACCAAGGGCAGCAAAAGCTTTATGGAAGAGGTAATGTTTGAGCTAAGCTTGAAATAATGAATTTAAGCTCAGCAGATATTAAAGAAGAGAAAAAACATTTAAGGTAGAAGCAGAGATATTAGGGCAAGTCTCAGAGTGCTTGCCATTCTCACAAACCTCAATCATTCCAATGAGTAAGTTGCTCTAGGCCAGCAGCAACAAACTACAGCCTGTGGACCAAATCTGCTATTTTAAAATAAGATTTTGTTGGACCCTGGTCAGGGTTCATTGTTACTTGTCTATGGCTGTTCTCACACCACAGTGGCAGAGTTGCAACAGTGATGGTATGGCCTGAGAGACAAAAATATTCACTATCTGGTCCTTTACAGAAGAAGCTTACTGATCTCTGATCTCGGTAGTTCCTTGGGAATATGGAGTATTGTTCCACATCACATGCCTCTGCCAAGCCCGTTGGGTTGGAATGGGGATGCCAGATGGCAGTGCTTAACATCTGAATTCTCACTGTGTTCCACATTCTGCATTAGTATGTTTTCTTTCATTTTCTCATTTGACCCTCGCAACCCAATACAGTAGGACCTATGATTATCTCTCTCTTACACCTAAGAAATTTGAGGTTTAAAAATAGGAAGGTACTTCTTGGGGCGCCTGGGTGGCTCAGTTGGTTGAGCGTCCAACTTCAGCTCAGGTCATGATCTCACAGTTCGTGGGTTTGAGCCCCGCGTCGGGCTCTGTGCTGACAGCTCAGAGCCTGGAGCCTGTTTCAGATTCTGTGTCTCCCTCTGTCTCTGCCCCTCCCCCACTCATGCTCTGTTTCTCTCTGTCTCAATAATAAATAAAAAACATTTTAAAAAAAGATAGTGAGGTACTTCTTGAGGTCACACTTGAGTCTTTAACTGTGTCAGATTACCTCTTAGGAGTGTTTCAGTGTGGCATGTAAATGTGTACATATACATGCATGTGTGTGTGTAGACGTATGAGAAAGTGTGTGCTACACAAAAGCTATGGGTAACAGGAGGAGGAGGAGGTGAAAGTCAGAGAACAAAAAGCCATTACATAGAAACCAGAAAATATTAGATACCAAGAATAAGCATAGCCTTGAGTAAACATCAGCAAAGATACACAGAAGCCCATGACACAGAGTGAAAGGCAGGAGGGAGAGAGGTTCGTTATTGGGAAGAATAAGAGAACTCTTTGTATGGGGGTGTGAAGTGTTGAGGTGACCCAGTGAATCCTGAATAATTTTTATTTCCTGATTTCCTACTATGCTGTATACATTGATTCTTCTTTTGAGGCCCCTTTGGTGGATTTTCATAGGTTCTTGGGGGGACTAGCTTGCATCTAAACCTTCATGACCAGAGGTAATCTAAAAGATTTTCTTCCTGGTAACTAATAGATCATAACACATAAGACGTTTGTAAAAGCACTGAAGACTGCAGCAAGGTCTACTGTGGAATCCATCATCAGGCTTATTTATTCTCTATTCTGAGTATATCTCAAATAATTCCTGCTCTCTACCCTCTATAACTATTCTCTTTGAACTTTCATTTCTTGCCCGGTATATTGAAATAGACTTGAAATTTTTCTCATGCCTTTAGTATTACTAAAGTCAGTCCATTCTTCATACCCTCCTCAGAGCTATGTACCCAAATTCATAATATCATGCTCAACTCTGGTTTAAAGTCCTCTAGTAGATCCTCAGTGCATTTAGGATGTTAGCTCCTTGACATGGTATATGCACAATAGACTATATCTCTCAAATCTCAAATTTTGCCACATCTCCTTTCCAGCAACCCCAAACCACTTACAGTCCCCACAGATAGACCAAGTGATTAGCACATGCTAATCACTGCCTGTAATGAACACACCACCTCCTGTCAACGACAACTCACTTGTCATGTAAGTCGTTGTCCAATATCACCTTTCAGCTTAGCTGACAACTTGTGTGTGCAGTCCTCCACATCCTCACAAGACCAGCTTCTATCAGGTACTAAGCCCTGGGGGATAGCGGCGGGCAAGACATGAGCCTTGTCCTTCTAGAGACATGTGAGAAAGCAACTACAGTGACCAGTGCTGTGACCAGTGCTGTGACAAGGGAAATATCAGATGGGGCAGGTAATCCGTACTTGGGGAATTAGGGAAGACTTTCTGGATGAAGTGACATCTAACCTGAGACACGAAGGGTGGAAAGAATTGGAATAGACTGAATAGGGGAAAAACATATGACAGACAGTGGAAATGCAGAGCATGTTCATCCAGGTAGAAGACACAGGAAAGTTCTAATGGCAAGAGGGCCTAGAGGAAAAGTGTGGCATGCATGTACAGTTAGAGCTGGAAGTTACTGACTGTGAGACATGAAGCAGAGGCCAAATAATAAAGGGGCTTGGCCATTCACTTTTTCACCCCCAACATATTGCCGTCATGATGCATTCTAATAACAAAAAGGATGTTAAGTACTATATAAGACACAGTAAGAATATATACCTGCTATACTCAGCCTTGTTCAGAAAGAATGAGTAGAATTGGCACAAGGAGCCTGAAGAAGAATGTTCTAGGCAGAGAAGGAATGGCATATGTGCAAAGACTTGGAAGTGAGAGAGTCCTATTTGGTCAGTTTGCGAAGCTGAAAGATGTTTAGTAAGTAAGACTGATTTGTAGACAGTTGAAACAGAAGAGGTAGGTTGGGACAAGGTCACTAAAGGCCTTGTGAACGTTTGTAAATGTATTCCTTATTCTAAGGCACTGGAAGCCATTTCAGCAATTGCATTTTATTTTTTTATTTTTTTTTGTTATGTTTATTTATTTTTGAGAGAGAGAGGGAGCGAGGGAGACACAGAATCTGAAGCAGGCTCCAGGCTCTGCACTGTCAGCACAGAGCCCGATGTGGGTGTGAGATCATGACCTGAGCTGAAGTTGGATGCTCAACCAAATGAGCCACCCAGGTGCCCTTCCAGCAGTAGCCTTTTAGAGTGGATCCCAAAGTTTGAAACTCGATTCCTGCCTGACACCATGCATAATCCCTGCCTCACACCATCCATAAAAATGAATTCCAGGTGCACTGTAGGCCTATATATAAAAGAAAAACGGTAAACATTCTAGAAGTTATTTAGGGGAATATCTGTATGACCTAATGTTAAACGAAGATTGCTCAGCAGGAACCAAAACACTAACTGTAAAAGAATAGGTGCATAAATTACACGATATTAAGAGTTTTTGTTCACCAAGAGGTAACACATTGAAAAGAGAACCCAGAATAGGAATCAACATTTTTAATACATATAACTGACAAAGCATTCATATTCAGAATCTATAAAGAACATTTATAAAGAGCAATCTATAAAGAGCATAGAGAAACAGGTAAGAACTTAAATAGAGATTTCACAAAAGAATAGCCAAAGACCTATAAACATATGAAAATGTGTTCAAACTCAATAGTAGTCAGGGAAACACTGACTCTCACAGTTCTCACCAAAGTTCAATACGTTTTTGTTACATAAATGCTTCTCAGTTTGTTGTGTACCAGAGCCCTGATTGTTTTGACAGTTTTTTTTTTTTCTTCCCAGTTTTATTATTGCTTTTTAGGGGGAGGATTTTCTGAGTTCCTCACTTAGCCATTCTAGAAGTCCTTATCCCTACCTTAAAGGTGGGAAAATTGAGGCTGGAGAGACTGTGTATCTTGTCCAAGTTTATACAGCCAGGCACTGGTGTTGAGTTTGGGCAGACTTCAGTGATATAATCTGGATATCTATTTAGGATGACATGAAGTCTTTTCTGCCAGTGTTCCAATCAATATTGGGCAATAAAAGTAACTCACGGTCATGGATTCATTACACGAAATCACTTGGAAATTACTTCATACATTCTTTTTACAGATGAAAATATTTCATAGTATTTTACCTGTTTTGGATTCCAGCATCTCCTTAGGAAGAGAGTCAGAGAATCAGTCAGTGTGGGACATTTTGTATCCAGTTAGGTAAAAGCTATAAGAAATAGAGAGTGGTTAGCTTTATTTTTCACTACACTGAACTCTCCAACATAAGAAAATCTTAGAGTCTACTTACTGCATTTACTAAGAATCCTTTGCTAATTGGAATTTGCTCAAGCTGGAAATGAACTTTGTGATAAAAATTAACAGTAGTTTGGATTGTTTTTGTGGTACAGTTTCAGACACTCTTTTTTAACTGTATGACTAACCCAAACATAGTAATTGGCATAGATATTAATGATAAAGTATGTTTTTCTCTGTGGTTCGAAATGGTGATTCCATGCTCCTATGTCTGCAGTCTCTTTTGCGCTGGGCATTTCCACTGTTAGCAGAGGAAATCAAAGTTACCTGAAGCAAACACTGAATTCTGTTGTCTCCAGGATGACCCTCTCAGAGGAGAAGGACTCTGTGGTGATTGTCTCTGTTGCCGATGTACGTATGAAAAATAAGTAACTCTCTAAATACCATTCCTCCATGGTAATCACTGCATCGTTTCAGAAAAGCAATTCATAGATGCCATTTTTGGATAACAGACAATGTATTCAAGACTTGTTTGATACCATGGAGAAAGAATTAAATATGTCAACCGAAAAAGAAAAGATAGTGGTTCCATGCGGAGAAATAAGATTGCGTTGTTAAATATGTACCTAGGAGCCCTGCATACTGTATGGAAATTATATTTACAAACAGAACATCAAAATTGAAGCTATAGTAAAAAAACACTGTGCCCAGCCCACTAAAAAGTTGGTATATGAAACAAGAGGTAATTTGTGTTAAATTAAGTAACGATAACTACCATGAATCTTGAAGGACTCCTTTCTCTATCTGAAGGATTCAGGACCATTTTTATATACATTATTTATAGCCTGCATTACATCTTTGTAAAGTAGGTATATCTCTCCTGATTTTACAGGTGAAAAAACCTGGAGCTTTATAGAAAGTAGGTTACTTGCCTAGTACTTAATACAGCAGATTCAAATCTATGTTTAATAGATTTTCTATCTTGCCTCTAATACCATTTAAGACTATAAAGCATGGCATAAATATTAATATCATAAAACCTTTTTGAGGAAAATTTTGCACTTGTGATAGATTTAAAATGTATACATCCTTTGTCTCAGAAATCTCAATTCTGGGAAGTTATCCTAAAGAGATAATCAGACATGAATTCCAAAATAATAAAAATATGGCAATGTGTGACAGTATCTACAGTACTTGAGAACACAGACTCTGGGTCTAGATTTCTCTATATCCTGTCTTGTGAACTTGAACAAGTTCTTCACTTCTCTGTGCTTCACTTTCTTTCTCTGTAAAATAGTGATGATAATATTACCTATGTGATAGGGTTTTGTCAATTAAATTAGCTACTATATTTAAAGTATTTAGAATGATGCATGGCACATAATAAGTGTTCAATAAGTAATTGTTTCAAGGATTTTCAGTGCACATTTGCTTTTTAAAACCATAATAGTGGAAACCACCAAAAATGTCTACCAATAAGAGACTGGCAAATAATCTGCAGTGCAATTGTAACCATTGAAAAGAGAGTGAATATCTGTATTCACTGACATAAAATTATGTCCCTATCCTATTGGTGAATGAAAAAAAGTTGTAAAGCATCTCATTTGACATAATGTTTTCTATGTAAAATATGATGGAAGGAAGAAGAGGAGTAAAAAAAGATATACAGGCAGACAAAATGTAGAAAGAAAAAAAATGAGCAAATCTTGTAATAATGGTCTCCAAAATATAAATAATGGTTATCTCTGGAGAGTATGATGTATAAGGATCTTTTTATCCTATCTTTTGAATTTTCTATAATAAACATGTCTTTGAATGCAGAAAAAACTCAAAATAAGCAATAGGAGAAATAACAGGAAAATATAAATAAAAATTAAATAGTCATTCTGTCCAAGTTTAATTTCTTAATATTGGAAAAATATACATTATCTCCAAAATGTTTTGTTGCCATTCTGTATATTATATATTATAATCCTTATTTCTTTGCTGCTGACACAATGCATGTATCCCTAAAATGTTTGGGCCAATAATAAAACATTAGGGACAAATTTTAAAATGGAATATAGAATGCTTAAAAAGTGTAACTTTAGTACTCTGTCTAAAATGTAATATGTTTCAAGGTACCTGGTTGGCTCAGTCAGTTAAGCATCTGACCTTTGATCTCAGTTCAGGTCTTGATCTCAGAGTCATGGGTTCAAACCCCTTGTTGGGCTTCATCCTGGACATGGAGCCTACTTAAAAAAAAATAAGTAATGTGTTTCAGTATGTAATAAATAGCTGGTGATTCAATTTATGGCTATCTTAAGAACCTTAAGTACTGTCAAAGAGTTATCTGTATCATGACACATACATATATATTTAATGTTTATTTATTTTGAGATACAGAGAGAGAGAGAGAGGAACAGTACATGCTGGGAAGGGGAGAGGGAGAAAGAGAATCTGAAGCAGGCTCCATGCTCAACAGGGCTTGATCTCAGGCAAAGGATCCTGAGCAGAAATCGAGTCACACTCAACCGACTGAGCCACCCAGGCTTTCCTTATGACAGATATTTTTAAATAAACAATCTGACTATATACATTTCAGAGTACTCAGATTTGACAATACAATTGTCTTCATTCAAACATTTTTCAGAATTTTATATTGAGAGTGCTTGTGGCCCTGAGGCAATATCATGTAAATGCCATCACCTTTGTAAAATAAACAAATAAATAAATAATCTGAGAATAAACTATCAAAAGCTATTTACAAATAAGTCTGTCATCTACTCTAGCACAGCATTTGATGAAGAGTAGGCAAATAAGGTTTGTTAATGGATGAAAATTTGGGAATTAGTCTGAGTAATACTGTCTGGAAAACTGTGGTATAATATTGAAGTACATTTAGTATCATATAGTACTCACAAAATGAAGACATCTTCAAAAAGAGCAGTTCTTAGAGGCACCTGCATGGCTCACTTGGTTAAGTGTCCAACTCTTGATCTCAGCTCGTGTCATGATCTCATGGGTTCTTTAGAATGAGCCCCACATCGGGCCCTGACACATTAGAGCTTGGGATTCTCTCTCTCCCTCCCTCTCTACCCCTTGCTCGCACATATGTGTGTGCGCTCTCTCTCAAAATAAATAAACTTAAAAATTGTTTTTAACTTTTTTGTTTTTTACTGTTTATTTTTGAGAGGGGAGGGTACAGAGAGAGAGAGTGAGATACAGAATCCAAAGCAGGCTTCAGGCTCTGAGCTGTCAGCACAGAACCCAATGTGGAGCTCAGACTCACAAAACACAAGACCATGATCTGAACTGAAGTCGGATACTTAACTGACTGAGCCACTCACATGCCTCTAAAAAAATTTTTTTAAAAAAGGGCAATTCTTAGCAATAAGCTGCCCCATTTGTAGGGCAAAACTGTTTTAGACACATAGGTTTTTGCATACTAATTTTTAAGTGTAAAAAATGTGTAGTGATATTTTGTATTGTGACAAAGGAAGAATGAAATATTTTAAGTACTCCAGTCAGGTCTTTTAGACACAAGAGTATTTTAAAATGCTTTCATAGAAAGTGAAAAAATAAAACCTTCTTAGGACCCAATGACATTCCACACATAAACTAGACTTACATGTAGCAAACGTGTTAGTAAAACTACGAGGCATGCTTGATTTCAGTGAAATATTTTTCTCATTTTTAGAGAAATGAAGATTATTTAAAATCTGTTGTTGACATGATTAAAAAAAGGTGAGTACTATCTGATAAGCTTAAAAATAGCTATTCTTTTATTTTTCTCTTTTATTTTTTCTGCCCCGTTATTCTATTAGTGATCATATTCTTTTTGATGAGTGTAGCTGTGCAGACAGAACTACTTAGAACTACAGGTAGTTCTAAGCTGTGATGAAGTATAGCTTATAATTCTCCCCAATTTTGTGGGTTATCTACCTAATAAAATCCATATTTTTCATGTTATGATTGTCATATCTATTTATTATTCCTCTGAGGAAATCCACTTCCTCTGAGAGAAGCCTACTAGATTATTTTTTAGGCGATCTTGTGTTCCTTACTGTATGAAGTTGCATTCTCCGCTTCTGCTTATGATCTCCTACTGAACGCAGCCCAGGAGAAGCAAGCACATGCTGATGAACGAGCAAAAGGTGATTTATCCTGCAAGACTCAGTGGAATTGGACCCAGCCTGTTACATGTTTATATTCACGTGGGTGACACAAGTGGTAAAAAACAAATCACAGCGAGGAAGCTAGTGTTTTGCATTGGTGTGGGGAGGACAATATGAGAACACGTAGAGGAGAGAGTATTTTACTCTAATTGCAAGTTATCAAGAAGGTCTTTCCTGAGAAGGAAATCACTGGGCTGAGTCTAAAGGTGTAAGCAGACATTCTTCAGGCAGATCCAAGGAGAAAGGGAATGCCTGGCAAAGAGAAAACCAAACAGGAGCATGCTAGATTTTTGGAAATAGAAGTATATCCTGGGGCGTGGATGTTTGGTGTTTAGGAAGAAGTTATCAGTGGGAGTTAAGGCTGGCAGCAATAAGATCATGAGGAGCCTTGGATACTGTGCTAAGGAATATGCCCTTTATGCTACAGACCAGCGTTGCAAACATGGCCTTCAAGCTGAATCTGGCTAATAGACATGTTTGGCTTAGACAGAAAAGTATTTGTTTGTTTTCCTCACCAAATAGCTCCCAGGGATGAGGCAAAGTTATTTTAGTCAAAAGTATTCCAGCTAATAACTGTAGAATGAATAGAATTAGAAAATCACCATTTTGAAAACAGCTGATTCAGGCATGTGGATGGGGAGCTTTACAAGGAAGTTGCACTAGCCAGCCTGCAAACAGGATTACCCTTGGTAATTCAGAGAGAAGGAATTCAATAGAAAGAATTGGTCAAAAAGTGTTTCTAGGGGCTGCAAGAACCAAAGAGAGAAGAAAGGAAATGGAAGGAGCATGACGGGACATAGTTGTATACATACCTCAGGATCTGACGTTGGGCTGCACCTGCTGCTGTGTTGTTGAAAACGCCATGATCGCAGGTTCGAACTGTGCCAACTCTGTCAGAGCTGGGACCTCCAGTATCTCCGTTGCCTCCTGCTACTCTATCCTGCTGCTGCTGTGGCCTTCACCAGAACCCGAGAGTAGGAAGAATATCCTCCTCGTTGACTGCCTTCCAGTCTCTTGATACTGCCTCCCATGGGCAGAACATAAGTGAAAGGTACCTAGCAAGGGGGCCTGGGAATGTGGTGTGCAGACCGCCTCTCCCTACAACAGCTGGCAGAACAAAAGTGTGAGAATGGGGGCTGAAGGCACATGGGCAGCCTGCAGGAGGGGGCCAAGTGCCCCCACCTGAACCTCTGATCAGTCACAGCATCACGGAAATGAGACAGCCAGACATTTTGTGTCTTCTGTTGTGATGTAAATGAAATACACTGTGAAATAACTCTAGGGAATTACTGCCCACCACTCTCCAAAATACAACACAAAACAAATACAAAATACAACGTAACACAAAACAGACCTTTAATCTGCTCTAAATTCAAGTTTAGAGTCTACATAGTGAATAGAGGAAGCAATCTGGAGTAACCACCTGGATGAGGACGGGGGATAGTCTATAAGACAGTTGACCCCGTTCTTTCAACAAGACTGTTGTATGAGACAAAAACAGAAAGAGAAACTGAAATAATTGGTCTAGATAATAAGTTTAACAAAAAAGTAAGAGATAACTGATTACAATGAGGGGATCTTACGTGGAGGCTGATTTGAACACCCCACCTTCCCCATTGAATACTTGTTAGGCTACTGGGGACATTTGAGTTATCACCTGAATATTATGTGATGTTAAATAACTATTCTTGGTATGGTAAGGTGTGATAATGGCTTGAGGTTATGTGAATAAATGCGCTTTTTCTACTTTGACACTGAAGAATTGAAGGGTGAGAAATGATATCCAGGATTGGTTTTAAAATACTTCAAAACAACAAAACAGTGGACTGTATAGATGAAACAAGTGTGGTAAAAAAAAAAATGGTCATTGAAATCAGGTGATTTGAGTTTCACCGTATTCCCACTTTTGTGTGAGCATGGTAATTTTCACAATAAAAAGTTAAAGCATTGAATTAGACTATTTTCAATAAGCTTGACTGATGGGGACGGAAACAGCCTGATAACACTTGTGTTAGGGGGGGTCTGGAGATGGGTTGCCGGGAGTGGTTTTATATGTGGTCTCTTCCATGGGAGGACCTATGGGGGGTACACGTGGATGGAGTTCTCGGCAGGACTATGCTAAGATAAAGGGGGAAATGACAAGAACAGGTGAAGGAGCAGAAAAAAATAATTCATTTGAGAAAGCAGGGTGAAATGAAAGAATTCCATCCTTAAAGGCTTTTCCTTCCTCTGTGAAAGATGAAAGTATGTCGAGAGTGAGGGATTTATTGGCAGTGAGCTTGAACTGGAGAATGGTAGTGAAGCCCTGAAGTAGATGACCTGTGTGGAAGGAGATAGAGTTGGGCAAGATTAAGGAAAACACCCATGTATGTCTGGTTTTTCCCAAAAACAATTGCCCAGGAAGAAAGTTGCCTCATACTTGAAATGTTCTCCTTAAAATGTTCTCCTATTCCAGGATACGCTCTCTTGGTTGCTTTATTCTGCATAATAAACCACTGTTTGGAGAATACACATTAGCCTGAAATGACATCAATCTATACTAGGTTGGTGTCCTTAAAAGGGAGTCTTAATAAGATCCATTACAAAGAAGGCAGAGGTTTATAAACAATTCCTGGGGATGTGTTTGCATAATTGCAAAACTTTTAAAGATGATTTGAAAAAAGAATTCTAGTATGCGGTTCCTTGTGGAGATCACAAAAATATTACTTGATGTATAAGGAGACATGTTTTGCTATAAAATGTACAAAGACAATGTCACTAACTGGTATTTTAGCTAGGCTTGAAGATCATGTATATCAGAGAACTATATCAGATGATTCAAAGAGATTCTCATGATGATAAGGATATTAATGGTAACAATACATCATAAAGGGTTGGAATACAATTTTATTTTTTGTGAGGGTAGAATGAAACTATCATTTAAAAATTTAATGTAGACTTATAACTTTTCATTTATATACCTACATTTTTATATATTTAATTTAGCTCAAAACCCTTTTTCTATGTCTTCTCACTGAGGTTAATGAGAGATTCCTCTATATGTTATAGGACCCGATTAAGATTATACATAACCTTATATGAAACTGTATGTAACTTACGTGCTTTATATAAAGCTATAAAGCTGTATGGTTTCCATGCTTTTATGACTGTAAGATAAAATCATTCATTTATAATGGCAACAACATACAATTATACTATTTTCTCTAGTCATTGGCAACTAGCAATTCTGGTCTCATTATCTCCAGGACTTTTGATGCTATCCATAACCTAATAATCTAGAAAAGGTTTAAAGAATCCTAGAAGGATGTTACCACACAGGATTCAAGGGTCTTGCTTAAGACAGACTGAAAAAAATTGAACCTGGAATCTTTTCCTTTATCAGTAATGGGAAATTATACCATCAAGATAGAAATTATTTGTAACCTGACCTTTGTTGTTTTGAGACTTTGTGTGAAATTTTCTAGAGGACAAAATTTACTTATAAGCTTCTATAATCCTACTTTTTGATGATTGTATATGCTGCAACTTAATGTTATTTTCATGTACCTCTGATATTCTAAATTGCTGTACAAAGTTAAGCAATTTTACTTTTAAAAATGTAGATACTGTGTTACTAATTTTTACCCTAAAGCAAACAGAATTCCTTATTCTGTTCTTTGAGCCAGCATTTTCTACTCTCCAAGGAACATACTAAAATTAGTTTTTAAAAATCTTTCCAGTTGATACACCAAAAAATCAGAGGAGCCAGAAAGACTTTCATCCACTGTACGTCCCCATTTACACTCCAACCTAAATAAATAAGTAAACAAACAAACAAATAGGCAGAAACCCTTACACTGATGCATAGAGCCTGGTTAGGATCGAGTGTCAATTAGAACAGTTCTTTACCTGGGAGGGAATGTATTGCTATTCCTATTATAAAAACTCAGAAGCCATTTAGAAAACAAACGAAAGGAATGAAATTGTCCACATTGCAATGTCATGAGGAGGCAACACAAGTACCGTGACCAGGCACCAACAGACTTTGGAAGGAGGGGTGAGATGATGATGTGCATTTGTTATTTGTGTAGCGCTACGTGGGCTGAAGAACCGGAAGCAAGTTTGTGCTTTATGGAATCATTCACCGCCAATATAGCATGATGATTCAAATTCCATCAATGTTGTTGAGGGAGACGTGTTGTCTAACTAATACATGGTAACTGAAATTCATTCGTATTGGAATTGTGCAAAGTGAGGACTGCCTATTTTGCACAAAATTGAGATTGTGCATCTAAAACTCTGTCCTGCTTTTTCACCTGCTAGTAAAAAACAAACATTTTCTTGAGACTTTAATATTTTAATAAATAATGTAATGCCTAAATGTAAATCCCATTTAAAGTCATATTATCTCTAAAGGAAAATCTTTTAAAATGCTCTACCTGGTGTCCCATCCTTTACCTTGATGGTGGTAGATTTGTATAATAGCTTTTGTGAGCCATGTGGTGTGCATTTTAATGATGTCCTAGTTTGTCTATAAATATTAACTTAAAATTATTTTTAATTTTTAATTTTGTTTAATTTTAATATATTTTTTATTTTATTTAAATCCAACATGCATTGTATGTTAGTTAACATATAATAGCTTCAGGAATAGAGTTTAATGATTCAGAACTTACTCAGTGCTCATCCCAAGTGCTCTCCCCAATGCCCATCATCCATTTATCCCATCCCCCACTCAACAAAATTAAGATTCTAAAAAGCATGTCCTCCAATGAGTTGTGGACAAGAGTAACACTTAATCCTTGCTTGCTGGGAGGAATCTATAGTTTCAGGAGCCACAGTGCTGTTACTCAGTAGGACTCTTGTTAAACTCAAAACTATGCATTTTTTTTGAATTTTTTAAGTTTATTTATTTACTGAGAGAGACAGAGAGAGAGAGGAGAGAGAGAGAATGAATGGGATGGGGCAGAGAGAGACAGAGAAAATCCCAAGTGGGGTCTGTGCTGTCAGTGCAGAGCCTGAAGCAGGGCTCGAACTCACAAACTGTGAGATCATGACCTGAGCCAAAACTAAGAGTCTGATGCTTAACTGACTAAGCCACACAGGCACCCCAGGCATTTTTTTATTTATTTTGAGAGGAGAGAGAGCCCACATGTATGAGCGAGAGAGGAGCAGAGAGAGGGAAAGAGAGAGAATCCCAAGCAGGCCCCAGGCTCAGCATGGATCCCAATGTGGAGCTCAACCCACTACCATGAGATCACTACCTGAGCTCATATCAAGAGTCAGGCGCTTAACTGACTGAGCCAACCAGGTGCCCCAAAACTATGCATTTTTAAAAATCACCTAATGTTCTATGCTAGCTCAATAGTTCCATTATTTTGAATCTTTTAGGGTGTATATATGATTATAAATTTGCAAAATTTTAAGGGCCTATAATTTTTGTGAGAATAAATTAATTTTATATTGTATATTTTAACTTTTTGTTATATTGTGCACTAATTTGTATAAGAAATACTTTGGCTAAAAAGTATTAGTTTCACAATGTGGATATCATGTATCAACATGTGAAATAATTCAAATAAAAATATTACATGGACCTGCATGAGGACATTCTTTTTAAGTATTTGTTATTTTGGTAAACCAAATATTCAGTTACAAACTTCCATTTACTTCCGTTTACAGATTCAAAAGGCAACTGAAGTCTGGATCCTTAGAAGTCATTTCAATACCTGCCTTTTTTTATCCAAACATGTTACATGTCAAGAAGTCAGCTGAGGACTCAGGAAAATTAGCAAGGTATTGGGGTGTCTGGGCGGCTCAGTGGGTTAAACGTCCTACTTCAGCTCAGGTCATGATCTCACGGTCCATGAGTTCAAGGTCCTCATCCAGCCGACAGCTCAGAGCCTGGAGCCTGCTTCAGATTCTGTGTCTCCTTCTCTCTTTGTCCCTCCTCCATTTGCACTCAGTCTCTCTCTGTCTCTCTCTCTCTCTCTCTGTCTCTCTCTCTCTGTCTCTCTCTCTCTGTCTCTCTCAAAAATAAATAAACAGTAAAAAAACTGGAGACGTATGATGTATTAGAAGACCGTATTCTTAAATAACAAACTTCATCGGATGTACTGTTGGAACCAGTATCTAATAGATCCCATTTCAAACACAGTCACTTCTTGCTCCCTTGCAAGAGCGGACTATGTGCATTCCTTCCCAGTCTGCGTCCAGCGATGTCAGGCTGGTAGCATGAAACCAGCCATGGTAGGAGCATTTACACTATGGAAATGGGCAAAAGCTACAAGTCATGGCTTCTCCCCACCCCACTCCCCAGAAAACATTTGCCACCAGCACTGGATTATCTATGCTCACATTTTCAGCCAATAATTAGCAAGGACATAATGAAGGAGGGAAAAAACTGGGGTTATAAATTATTACATGTGCCTTCTAGTTTCAACTTTTCTGTTTGTTGGTCATCCTAGACAGGAAATTTAGCCTTTGTTTTCTTAGCTTCCTCCATTTTCTGGTGTGTATAGTAAAATCTACATTATATATTTGGAAAAATCATGGTGAGAATAAAATATGATAGTACCTATTTAAGAATTTTGGGGGCACCTGGGTGGCTCAGTCGGTTGAGCATCCAACTTCAGCTCAGGTCATGATCTCATGGTTTGTGGGTTTGAGCCCCATGTCAGGCTCTGTGCTGACAGCTCAGAGCCTGGAGCCTGCTTCAGATTCTGTGTCTCCATCTCTCTCTGCCCCTCCCTGTTCATGCTCTCTCTCTCTGTCTCTCAAAAATAAATAAATGTAGGGGCACCTGAGTGGCTCAGTTAAGTGCCTGACTTCGGCTCACGTCATGATCTCACAGTTCGTGGGTTTGAGCCCTGTGACAGGTTCTGTGCTGACAGCTCGGAACCTGGAGCCAGCTTCAGATTCTGTGTCTCCCTCTCTCTCTGCCCCTCCTTTGCTTAGGCTCTCTCAAAAATAAAAAAACATTTAAAAATTTTTATGAATGAATGAATGAATTAATTAATTAAACAACCAAATAAATAAATAAATGTAAAAACTTTGGGGCACCTGGGTGGCTCAGTCGGTTAGGTGTCCAACTTCGGCTCAGCTTATGATCTCAGTTTGTGAGTTTGAGCCCCACATTGGGCTCTGTGCTGACAGCTCAGAGCCTGGAACCTGCTTTGGATTCTGTGTCTCATTCTCTATCTGGCCCTCCCCACCTTGTGTTCTGTCTTTGTCTCTCAAAAATAAATAAATGTAAAAAAAATTTTTTTTAAAAGAATATTTAAGAATTTTGAACAATTAAAAGGCTTGTATGTGTATAAAGGACCACTACTGTTTGATTATAAATGTGGTAGGTATTATAAGAAATGTAGTAATTTGGTTCCTCAAAACTTAATGGAGGAAAAGAAATTCCGGAATTCAAAAAAAAGTTTTATCCCAGGAAACTTATTAGCTCTGTTTTGTTTTGTAATAATAAATGGTATGTCAGAATCTGGAAATCTCATAAGGATTTTGTTTTACTTTTAATTAAGTAGTCAGGTTTTAAAGTCATAAAGCTGGGAGGCCTTCTAGATTCTGTTTTTCCTTCTGCCCTTTATGTCTCTATCATCATTTCTTCTTTTAAAAACAAAATCTCTCTTAGAACACCTGGGCGGCTCAGTCAGTTGAGTGTCCAATTTCGGCTCACGTCATGATCTCACAGTTGGTGAGTTTGAGCTTCACATCTGGCTTTCTGCTGTTAGCATGGACCCTGCTTCGGATATTATGTCCCTCTCTTTGCCCGTCTCCTGCTCTCTCTCTCTCTCTCTCAAAAATGAATAAACATTTATTTAAGGAAAAAAAAATCTCTCTCTGCATCATTCCTCTCATCCTCATTCCTCAGCTCTGGACTTATTTCAGGCCATTAACGATCTATTTGCTTTCCTTAAGCCTAGCCTAGCCTGGCCTCTCTTCCAATTCATTCTCCACAGTGTAGCCTGAAGAATCCCTTTTCATAGGAGATCAGGAGCGAAGTTTCCTTCATGATCTGGTCTCTGTCCACCTTACCATCATCAGTTTTTTTTTCCACCCATTCTCGTTGCTGTAGATCTAAGATGGCACGCTCTCTCGCAAGCTTCAACGTCTTTGCAATAAAAGTCTTCTCACTAATGCCCCGCCCCCTGCTCCACCCGCGCCATCTTATGTTACATCATCATTGCCAATGTCTTTGTATATCACTTATCTAATTGTTCTGATTTTATAATTTTTCTATCTTTTCATAGAAGATTGTGAAACCCTTCTGGGCAAGGGCTGCATTGTGTATTGCTCTTTTTATCTTCAGGAACTGGCCTCGTATCTAGCTTAGTAATAAATTAGAATAAAGTTTCTTCTTTTATTTGAACAAGACCTAGGATGAGAATGGATATTAACTTTTTTGTACAGATCAAAAGTTAACTAACCAAAATGTAAAATAAATAGGTTATGCTTTTTTTAGTTTAGCAATGGCAGATACCATCCACTGAATGAAGATGGAAACTTTAATATAACTTTTCAGTATAACATTCAATTTCACTTACTATAGATAGTACTCTATGTTAGCGAAGGTTGTTTTCAATTACTGAAGTGTGCTTGTAAATAAAAATTATATAATAATGACAAATATTAACAGATTTTATTATTTATCTTTAGTTGGCACATCAAACAAGTACTGGATTTCTGTTTTTTGATGCTGTATGCCCAACCAAAGGCCATGTATTATTTACAGGTAAGACCTTGGTGTATATATATAATTTGAAGTGGAAGTATTATGTTCTATTGTATCCCTCCACTTACTTTGTATTCAGAAAATAAGAAAATGCTCATTATGTTAAAATTCCAGAAGGAAGTTTTAAGTTGATTTGATGTAAGTCTTCTAGCTGCGTTTACTATAAACAGAGGATATCATAGTTACCTGAAGCAAACTGAAAAGAAATTCTCAAATTAGAAAAAAATAGAAATTATGTTCCCTACATTTGTCTTGCCACAAGTTTATTACATTAGAGAAACATATTTTGAGAACTGAATATATGTCAGATGTGTATATGCTTACCATTGGTATCCTACATTGTCTCCTCTCGTATTTTATGTTCTACCCAGTTCTACAGTGCCTTACTGTATTTTTGAAATAAATAAATTGTATATAGTTTGTTTCCCCTGTATTCTGGCATATTCTTAAATAAGAGTGTTATGTTTCAGCAGTAAGTATACACCTCACTACAAGTGACAATGTGCAGTTGTAAGAAGAGTTTGTAAGATATTACTGGAGATGAGAGAATGTTAGAAAAAGGCCTGAAGCAGGGTCTTCTCTTTTACTGGAAGAACAACAACAACAAAAAGAGCCTTTTGATTTCTAGTTAACAGAAACATGAGATCCACCCGATGTATTCTTCCCAATTAGAACAGCATAATTCTGGTTTGTGCTCTGGTAATAATGTGCTTGAGGATTTCCACATTTTTCTGAATCATGTAGGAGGCCCTCTTAGTGTATAGATTACCCTATAAATATTTATATATATATTATTCTATAATACGTATAAAATTTAAAAGAAGAAAACTATATGGGCGCTGGGTGCCTCAGTATGTTAAGCGTCTGACTCTTGATTTTGGCTCAGGTCATGATCTCACGGTTCGTGAGATGGAGACTCGAGTTGGCCTCTGGGCTGACAGCACGGAGCCTGCTTGGGATTTCTCTTGCCTCCCTCTCTCTTTGCCTCTCCTCTGCGCATACTCTTCCTCTCTCTATCTCAAAATAAACAAATAAATATTTTTTAAAAAGAAAATTCTAGTTTCCCTTTCCCCCTGTCTTATGGAGAACTGCCCTTAGGCTTATGTGTACTGTCATCCTACCCAGCTTGTTGTGGGAGAGTGCCAGCTCTTTTGTCATCTCATTGCCAACCACATTCTCCGGTTCTCTGGGGACAGGACACGGAACCTATCATCTCACACATAAAGCTAGTTAGTCTTAAACTGGGAACTGAAGTATTCGTAAGGATGAAAATGGATTCAGATCAATAGATTTTTTTTCAATGAGGATTTAAATTGAGTGTTCCATATTAGTACTTAGGATCAGCTCTGGTCTCAGAATCTGAAAGTGAAAACTAACTAACCATAAATGCCCTCAGGGAATTGAAGTAAAAATAAAATAACCTCATAAAAACTCTTCCTTCAGTGTATTCTACTGAAAGTATTTTCAGTTCTCAAGATAATACAATTTATTCAATGGAAGCATCAAAGGAACTAACGACTTTTGTCTTTTTCCAGCTAGAAGATGATATCATAGCTAAAAAGATGTACTTTACAAAAATCACAGATTTTGTCCATAATATCACTTCAAAAAATTGGTTTTATATTGAGTTTTCAATTCTTGGATTCATAGGTAAGCAGTCGGGTTTTTTTTTTTTTTATCTCACAATAATCTTAAAAGTTCTTAAGAATTTATTAGTCTATTACTCAATGGAAAGGAATGGCATGGTTTCTGTAAAGATACTATTAATTTAACAATAATTCAAGTATCTGAGTTTCAGAAAGTGTATTTTTAAACCAATTTTTTCTAGATAGACAATATAAAGAAGCAGATTGACACACAGACATATGTGATAAAAATGTAAGAAAGCTACCACTTGCTAAATGCTTGCTGGGATTCTGGCCCACATGGTAGCTCAGTGACTAAAGGGTACTGCTCTATTTTACACAGAAACTCAAAGAATTAAAGTTGCAAATAAAGGAATTCTAATTTAGGACTCTAAACTCCATGTAATTTCCAGTATGCCAAATCTGACATCCTTAGAAAAGTATAAAAATATATGAATCATACTCATCATAGAAGAATTCCTAAAATTGTGCCCATGATGAGATTTAAAAAAATTTCCTCTATAGACTTTCTTTTTTCTTCCTTCTACTCTTTCTACCCTCCCTTCAATACTTTTTCTTTTATTTGAACCTTGATGCAGCAAGTTGAATTGCCACATTCATTTCATGGTGCATGTCATCCTTTCTTTTGTACAAGAACCCTCTCTTATTTTATTCTTTCGTTTTATGCCCAATCCCTACTCTTACTTCCTCCCACCCCTCAATAGGTTTCCACTCTAATATGTTCAACGTATACATATAGGGGCACCTGGGTTGCTCAGGTTAACTGAGTTACCCTCGGTTAACTCTCTGGCTTCTGCTCAGGTCATGATCTCACAGTTCATGAGTTTGAGCCCCGTGTCAGGCTCTGTGTAGTCAGTGAGGAGCCTGGAACCTGCTTTAAATTCTGTGACTCCCATCTCTCTTCCCCTCCCCTGCTCGTTCTCTGTCTCTCACTCTCAAAAATAAATAATAAACATTAAAAATGTTTTTTTTTAAAAAGTATACATTTAAATATGCTTATATGGGTGTTTATAATGTTTGTATCTGTTTAAAACGTACACGAATGGTGATGTGATAAACCTATCATGCCCCTTAACATTTTTGTCCTCAAAACTAGATTTTAAAACTGTCAACATGTTGGTTTATGTCCATTTAGTTTATTGTTTCCTACTGCTGTTGCATAAGCCCCACATAATAATCCATTTTACTTCTCCATCCTTGAAGTGGTCAACTTTGCTCCCAACTCTCTGCTGCCACAAAGAAATGAAGTGACATATTTTGTCTCCTGGAACAGGAGCACTGAGGGTGAATAAGTCGTGCCAGATTACTTTGCAGATTGGCTATACGGTTTATAGTCCCCTAAGCAGTGCATATGAGTTCCCACCTCCCCATATGCTTGACAACATGTCATCTATACATCATGTCTTGTCTTTTCTTTTCTTTTTTTTTTTTTTGCCATTGAGAAGAGTGTTAAGTATTTCTTTGACTGCTAGTGAAATCTGTTATTCATATACTAACTTGACCACCTTCTTTCCCATACTTTCTGTCAAGTGTTGTAGAATCCAATTTTGAGACTCCAAAGGTTTATGCTCAGCTTTGATTTAAATAAGAAGAATAATTATAGGTAATAGTAATACCTAATAAGCTTGAAGAGGAAATAATCTTGTTGATACATTACTGTGATAATTTTAAATTCTTTGTATCTTTCTCACCAAAGTCCAGTATGAGAAGGATGCAGAATATTCACATTCTGATCACAAGAGCACACCGAACAAGGAGCACTATATATGTAATGCTGAAGTCTTATTTAAGCTTATGTTTACAACAGCTGTGGGTTTTTTTTTTGTTGTTATAATACTAACAATTTTCTTACTATTACCAAAAATATGAATTTGCTAAATAGAATTTTACAGCATGCTGACAGCAGGTAAGGAAAAGACAATTATTGACTCAAATATTTCCATCATTAAATCACTTGTTTGGTTACTATATAAAAACCAAAAAATTAAAATACAACCATCCACTTGATTAAACAACTCCAAGAGATTCAATTCCTAGTGAAGAAAAAGAAGCACGATTACTTCCTACTATCATATTAATTAAATGGTTGATATATTTTACACTATTTACTAACATTTACCTGAATCTTATACCTTCAACTTCATTTCAAAATCAAAGATGCAGTATATTAGAAGAAAGCAATTGGATCTAAGGAAATATCCTACTTTAAAATACAGCAAATCTTTAAGTATCACAAATACAAATAGAAATAAAATTCACATAAAACAATGCTCAAATATTGAAATAATACTATATTTTCATCAAAATTAAATGCTAGACATAAAAAATGTGGTAGATAAAGTTCTACAAAAGTCAGGTTTTGGATTCACTTCTACAAAATTAAGTAAAAGATTATAGCTTCTGTACATTTCATTTTATGTATGTATCGTTCACAAGTCTTAGCAATTGATCCTCATTGATTATCAAAGTTGATTTCCTAAGGGTATTCGCTATTCTAAACCTGCTTCACCCTTTCTCTCCCAGAAGTGGCAATCTGTAATACTTAAGCAGATATATTATTTTATTATCCTTCAACTTCAGGAATGTTTTAAGGATATATTTATGTAGGAATGTATTTAATTTTTAATGTTTTTTTTGGTCCTTTCTCTTGTTAATAGAATGAAAAACTATATATAAGGGTTATTTTCTGATATATTGTATAAACACTCGAGAGTTATTTGAATTTGTTTACTTTTTTCTCCATAGGAAAACTATTTAAATCTGAGGACTTAACTGATTTTGTGCGGTTTTTTTTAATGTTCTACAAAGATAAACCCATAGATTTGCTCCTGGGGGACATTTTTCAGGTAAAGATGTGTAACCCAGGAGAGACTCCTGTGAGTATTTCTTTACTTTGTAAATACAAAATATTTTAGGAAAATACTATCTGTCTAATGTATTTCCCTGAAATTTGTTTACAGAACTAAACCAGATGATTGCATTAGTTTTTTAAGTTCTGGTATCCAGAATTTTTACTGACACTGATACCTACTACATGAAGTAATGAGAGGCCACAAATTAGTGAAAAGTGGAAGAAAGGTGACAAAAAAATAATAAAATGATAGATGCAAATCCAAATATGTCAATATTTACATCACATATAAATGATCAAAATATGCCAGCTGAGAGATAGTTTGTCAGAATGGTAAACAAACACTATGCAATTACTTACTGTCTGTACTCAGTTCAAATATAATGCTATACATAGGTTAAAAGTAAAAGATGGGAAAAGAAAAACCATGCAGACAAAAATGAAAAGAAATCTGTACTAGCTATGTTAATATTAAAGTAGACTTTGGTGTAAAAACCCAAAAATTTTGACCAGGGATCAAGATACTATATACTGGTAAAAGAATCAAATCCCAAGAAGATATAACAATCCTAAATGTGTATGCATCTAATGACAAAGACTCAAAATACATGAAGCAAAAGATAACAGAACTAAAGAGAGAAATACATTAATCTACAAGTATAGTTGGAGACTTCAACACTCCTCTCTCAGCAATAGAACTGGTGGGTAGAAAATCAGCAAAGAGATAAGAGAATTGAATGACACCATCTACCATCTCAATTTAATTGATATTTTTTAAAAATGTTTTATTTATTTTTGAGATAGATACAGCGTGAGCAGGGGAGGGTCAGAGAGAGAGGGAGACACAGAATCTGAAACAGGCTCCAAGCTCTGAGCTATTCCTCAGCACAGAGCCCAATGCCGGGCTTGAACCTACGAACCATGAGATCATGCCCTGAGCTGAAGTCATACGCTTAACTGACTGAGCCACCCAGGTGCCCCTGGATTTAATTGATATTTTAAAAACACTACATCCAAGAGCAGTACAAAACACATTATTTTAAAATACACATGGGGACTCCTCCACGGATCTATTGGTTAAGTGTCTGACCTTCGCTCAGGTCATGATCTCGTGATTTGTGAGTCTGAGCCCTGCATCAGGCTCTGTGCAGACAGTGGGATTTTCTGTCTCCCTCTCTCTCTGACTCTTCCCTGCTCGCTCGCTCTATCTCTCTCTCTCTCCTAAAATAAATAAACATTAAAAAAGAAGAAATTAATAACAGAAAGATAACTGAAAAATCTACAAGCACTTGGAATTTAAACAATACACTCCTGAATAAACCATGAGTGAAAGAAGAAGTCTCAGAGGAAATTAGAAAATGCTTTGAATTGAATGAAATGAAAATGCAACCTATCAAAATTTGTGGGATGCAGCTAAAGTATTGCTTAAGGAGAAATTTATCATAGAAGAAATCTTTATCTAAGAAGAGAAGAAAAGTTTCGCATTAATAATCTCAGCTTCCACTTTAAGAAACTAGAAAAAGAGAGCAAAATCAAGCAGAAGAAAGAAAATAATAGCTCTGAGGGCAGAAAGCAACATAAAAGCAATTCTTTGAAAAGAACAAGAAAACTGATAAGTTTTTAAAAAGACTGACAAAAAAGACTCAATAACAAATTATCAATAGAGAATACATGATGCATATGTGTGTGTATGTGTGTGTGGGTGTGTGTGTGTGTACTAACAACATATGGAGATGATTTATATGCTGAAAACCTAAAAATGCTGATGAAAGAAATAGACATACCATCATTAAATATTGGAAGACTCAGTAAATATGCAAATGCTTCCCAAATTGATCTATGGATTTAACATAATTCTGATAAAAATCCCAGCAAGATTTTCTATGGTAGATACAGAGAAGCTGATTCTAAAATTTTTAAGAAAATGTAAAGGAACTAGTTTAGCTAAAATGATCATGAAAAAGGAAGGAGAAAGTTGGAGGCATCACACTACTCAATTTCAAATCTTATTCTAAAGCTATAGTAAGCAAAACAAACATAGGTAAAGAGGTAAACAAATAGACTCATGGAACAAAACAAACAGCTCAGAGATAGCTTCGCACAGTATGGCCAATTGGTATTTGACAAAGGAGCATATGCAATTTAATGGAGAAAGAATAATCTTCTCAACGAATGTGTATTGGATAAGTTGGATGTGTGTATATGTGATATGTAGGTATGTATGTATATATATATATACATAGAAATACATAAATATACATATACGTATATATATACATATGTGTGTATACATACCTATCTACATATCAATCTAAACATAATGCTTGATAAAAACATTATTTCAAAATAGATCATCTATCTAAGTATAAAACATAAACTATAAAACTTCTAGAAGAAAGCGTAAAAAGTATCTTCAGGATCCAGGAAAAGAGTTCTTAGACATGATACTAAAACTATGATCCATTTTTTAAAATTGTTAAATTAGATTTCATCCAAATTCAAATCTTTTGTACTGTAAATTTTACTGTTAGAGGATAACACACCACAGACTATGAAGAAACATTTGTAAATTCCGTATACAACAAGGACTTGTATTCAGAATATAAAGTTCCCAAAACTCAATAACAGGAAAATAACCCAATTAAAAAAATAAGCACAAGACTTGAGTAGACACTGCTAAGGCAATTTCTCCCTTACTGCAATAAGCAATGAATTCAGCTCTCATTTTTTGGGGGGCATTTTGCAGGAAGCCAGTATTTGATAAATCTATCTCATTGAAACTTCTATTAGTAGCTTAGCAAATATTATCATATTTGCTAGTTTTTAACACCTCAACTAATTTTATCTGACTTTAGTTTCAAGTTAAATTAACCCTAGATTATTTAAATACTTTACAGTTATAACAACAATCCTTTAATATATTATTTTCCTACATGTTCGTACTGAGTAGAAATCCATTTTAGTGAGTCTACTATTTTTAAAATTGTTAAATAAAACAAAAATGTAATCTATCAAATGGGAGAAGATATTTGCAAATAATATATCAGATAAAAGATATATATCCAAAGATATATCCAAAGATAATATCCAAAGTATATAAATAACTTATACAATTCAGCACCAAAAAGCCCCCAACTAATCCAATTAAAGAATTGGCAGATAAATTGAATACTTGCCAAAAAAGTCATACAGATGGCCAAAAGACACATGAAAATATGCTCAACATCACTCATCATCAGGGAAATACAAATCAGAACCACAACGAAAGTAGCACGTCACACTTGTCAGAATGGCTAAAATGGAAATCTCAAGAAATAACATGTGTTGGCAAGGATGTGGAGAAGACGGAACCCTTATGCACTATTGAAGGGAATGCAAATTGGTGAAGCCACTGTGGAAAACAGTATGGAGGTTCCTCAAAAAACTAAAAATACTGGGGCGCCTGGGTGGCTTAGTCGGTTAAGCGTCCGACTTTCGCTTAGGTCATGATCTCGCGGTTCGTGGGTTCGAGCCCCGCATCGGGCTCTGTGCTGACTGCCAGCTCAGAGCCTGGAGCCTGTTTCAGAGTCTGTGACTCCCTCTCTCTCTGACCCTCCCCTGCTCACGCTGTCTCTCTCTCTCTCCTAGAAATAAATAAAACATTAAAAAAAATTTAAAAAAAAAAAAACTAAAAATAGAATTACTGTATGACCTAGTAATTCCAATATTGGATATCTACCCAGAGAAAACAAAATACTAATTGGAAAAGATATATACACCCCTGTGTTTACTGCAGCATTATTTACAATAGCCAAGATATGGAAGCAATCCAAGTATCCATCAATACAGAAGTGGATACAGAAGCTGTGGTATATATAAATGGAAAATTACTCAGGCATAAAAAAGAATGAAATCTTGCCATTTTCAACAACATGGATGGGCCTAGAGGGTATAATATTAAGTAAAATAAATCAGTCAGAGAAACGGAAATACCATAATATTTCACTCATATGTGGAATTTCAGAAACAAAACAAACAAAGAGATTGACAAAGAAACAGACCCTTAACTATAGAGAACAAACTGGTGGTTGCCAGAGGGGAGGTAGGTGGGAGATTGGGTGAAGTAGGTTAAGGGGATTAAGAGAACACTTATCTTCATGAGGCGCTGAGAAATAGAATTGTTGAATCATTGTATTGTATACCTGAAATTGATATAACACTATATGTTAATTATACAAATTATTGAGTATATAAATTTGAGATGTATTTTTATGAATTTTCTAAGTATACAGTATATAAAATAATTCTCAGTGATCGTAATAATTTCAAATGTTTGCTCTTGCTTTTAAGGAGTGGTTTCACAGGTCATCTTTCTTATTTTTATTTTTAATGAGATTAACCAAATCTTTTTCTATAAAGCATAATATTGGATCCTTGATTTAATCGTGGTTTTTTTCTACTTAATACATAGAGGTGGGGTGTAACAGTGTAGGAATTAATATGAAATGAAAAAGAATAACGTAGTCTAAGAGAAATGGATAGAAAAATACAAAAAAATTCATTTATGTTGTTGAAATAGAAAGAAGGGAATGGAAAATTATAGTTGGTACAACAGTAGCCTGATTTTTCTACAACAGATTTCAAGAAGATATATGCTTTAACAAAAACCATTTTGTTTCTAAACTTTTGTTTTATTATTTTTCTGAAGAAAAAGCTAAGAAATAAAGTTTTATTTAATGTTTAAATATTAAAATAGGACTCTGGCAAAAACTAATATAATACAGAATTCTTCCATCCATAAATGCAATAAAAAGGACTATTTGGGTTGTTTCAGAAGATTTGTTGTTTCTCTTCTTTTTCCCCAGGAAAAATGTGCGGAAAGAAATAAGCAAATTCGTATTCGTTATAAACCTTCTCTTTTCCAGCATGTGGGTATACAGTCGTCATTCCCTGGAAGAGAACAATATTCCAAAGTAAGATTTTAAAATGTTACCTGAGTAATATACAATGTATTGTCAACTTAGAAAATATTTTCTAGAAAAGGAGTGATGGACACACGAGAGAGACTATAAAATATGGTGGTTCAAACATAGTTCATCTTATGATAGCTGTATGTTGTGAAGAGCAATCACCTTTTCAAGATCCAAGTTATTTGTCATCATTAGAAAAATCTAGCCTATCTTAACTTCTCTGCCTTACTGTTACCAGCTGTGTAATTCCAAGTAATGACTAAACACGTTTTAAAAATCATAATAATGTTCAGTATTTTAGTCTAATATTTAAAATTAGACAAGAATACTTCCAAAAAAGCCCCTATTATTTAATTTAAATGTAGCAACATTCTTATTTCAGATCACTGTCATTTCAACAAAAATTCAGTATTGTCTGGTTTTTAATCATTCTTAAATTTTCCATCATTTTTAGAAACAATATTACTTATAATCTAATTAGTATCTTGCCTGGGTAGAAGAAGCAAAGACTTCAGAGTCAAAACACCTAGTTTTTAGTTATAGTAACCTATGTACACGATATTGGGCAAGACCTGAGACTCCTCTGTGCTTTTTTCAATCTGTAAGAGGAGTTTAAATTAGATCATCCTTAAGATGTTTTCCACCTTTGAAATATTATCGACATCTCTCCCTTCTTCATTTCTTCACACAACAAAGCAAATGATTGCTTTAATCCTTTGTCAATTGAAATAAGAGAAATGTACATACATTTACTCCCATCATTTTATTCATTATTTATGATCAGCCCTCCTTCCACCTTTTCCAGTCCTTATCTCTATATATTTATTATACTGTATTCTTTGAAACACTGCCTGAAGCACAGTGTGAATTCAGTAGATGTTGGCTATTAGCTATTAGGCAAAGTGAAATTCTAGATTAAAAATATTCATTAAGCAAAACAGACAAGTATCTGGAATAATGAATATGTATGGATCTGCATGCAAAAAATAACACCATAAAAATACATAAAACATAGCTGCAGGTGATGCAGAAAGAAATTGATCTATGCCACTCTATTTGTTAGTGCTATTATAATAAGATTCTTCTCTTCCATTATATCTTTTGCTGGATGAGCTATTTTAACCTTACCTTTGTAAGTTTACAACCAATTAAGTAGAATATTTATCTAATCACTCATATTTTGATATTATACTCTAGCCTTTTACCTTTTTACACCTTATACCATGTAAAATAGAAATAAATAACAGTTTAATGACATGTCCAATGTGATTGTATATTTTTAAATGTATATTACTTTAATTATTATAATAATTTAATCATGTTATTTTAAAATTTTCTAACAGGATATTTATTATTAGGATTTCATAATTTGAGTACCTTCTTTGAAAATGATCAGCATCAGTGTTTGGGAAAAAATGATACAATGAGGATTAGTCTTAGTTCTCAACTTTCTTCGTAATGAATAAGACACTATATCACATAAAAAATTAAACCTTTGATGATATACTGGTAAGTGTAAAAATTGATATAAATATATAGAAAATTATCAGATATTTGTTAGCCTTATTTTATAACCATATTTTGTGTATTTTTAAAACTTTATACATATAACTTTCTAATATACTCTCTAATATTTTGTTTGAGAATAATGAGTAAGTATTTTCTTTTCCTTTTTTATCATGTACTGTACACATATAATGAATTTGGAGACAATAGATTTCAGTGTGAAGCCTCATTCTTATCAATAGATGCAACAGTATGGATGAATCTCTAAAACACTGTGCTAAATGAAAAAAGCCAGATGCAAAAGGCTATAGACTATATGATTCAATATGGAATTCTAGGAACAGCAGATCCTGATAATCTCATTATGATTTTAATTTGCATTTCTTTGATAGCAAATGATGTTGAGCATCTTTTCATGTGCTAGTTGCATGTGTGTTGTATGTATGTGTGAAAAGATGCTCAACATCATTTGCCATATATATATATACACAAATTCATATAATGAAATATAGATTTTCATCAATATGGATTTTAATGAAATGTATGTATATAGTTTGTGAAATTTCTGTTCGAGTATTTGCCCATTTAAAAAACTGGGTTGCTCACCTGTTTACTTTTGAAGTGTAATAATTCCATATATGGTCTCAGCTTATGGCTTGCTCTTTCATTTTCTTTTTTTTTAATTTTCAAAAAATGTTTTATTTATTTCTGAGAGAGAGAGAGAGACAGCGTGAGCAGGGGAGGGTCAGAGAGAGAGGGAGACACTGAATCCAAAGCAGGCTCCAGGCTGTGAGCTGGAGCCCGATACGGGGCTCGAACTCACAAACCGTGAGATCATGACCCGAGCTGAAGTCAGACACTTAACTGACTGAGCCACCCAGGTGCCCCTCTTTCATTTTCTTAATAGTGCCTTTCAATGAATGAAAGATTTTCACTTTGATAGAGTTCAGTCCACTGAAACCTCCACTCTGTCGATATAGTTATGTTATTGCTTAGTTTAGTATTCAGTGATTTTATGACAATATAAATGCTGTTTACACTTAAGCTACATAGAATGCTATTTATTTTTCCTTTATTATACAACTGTTTTTTGAGTTTTAAACTTGCTTTATTTCAATGTACTTATCACTAATTCATCCTCATATTCCCCATGAAATATCTAAATCTGTTTGCAGTGTATTGGAACGTTTTAAAAATCATGGATGATGTTCAATACTTTTCTGCATTTCTACCACTTCCCAATCTTGAAAAATATCTCTCCTGTAGCCTCTGACCAGTTCTAGCAGATATCTTAGAAACCAGGCAGTTGATTTTCCTGTTTTCTATATCTCAATCTGTATCATTCTTGGTCTACTCATTTGTTTTAGTAAGGCACACACCCCCCTCTCTCTGGTAATTTCTTGAGGAAGATTGTGTAGGAGGTAAATTCTTGGAGAACTAAAACATCTTAAAATGACTGCAGTCTATCAAATTTGTTAGGTTGGTTAGGCAAAGGATTCTGAATTCTGATTTTTGAAGGTATTCAAGAGTGTAACTGATGAAAAGTAGTTAAAGCCATTCTAATTCCTGTTTCTTGGTATAAGCCCAATTTTCCCATCTGTAAACCTTTTAAAATTTTTCTTATATTTAAGGTTCTACAATTTCATGATCATAGGTCTATTTTTATCTACGGTGCTTGATATTTGGTGGAGTTTTTTTAATATGAAAACTCATGTTCCAGTTCTGGAACATATTCGGAAATTATTTTGTTGATAAAGTGACTCCCTCTATTTTCTATGCTGTTTTTAAGGAACGCTATTTCAAATGTAAGATTTCTTGGATTGATGTTCTCCCTGTCTCTTACTTTCTCCTTCCTATTTTCTTTCTATTTGCTTCACTCTCTGAGAAAGTTTTTCCGAATTTTGTCTTATATCCTTTTTATGAGTGCTATTTTTGTTTTTTGGGGGAAGGAAGGCAGTTTTCATTGATTGGTTGGTTTGATTGTTTTTTTGTTTTGTTTTGCTTTTGCTATTAAAGCTTTAATGTCTGAAGAACCCCTTTTGTGCTCCTAATGTCACTGTCCCCTTTAAAACCCTTGGTTCTTACTTTATGATTGGAATACTCTCACTTAACCCTCTAAGGATTTTAATATTTTTTCATATTTTTTAAAATTTATTTTCCCTGCATAATTTCTATTTCCTTCAAGTTCTTTGTTGTTGTTGTTGTTGTTGTTGTTGTTGTTGTTTTTGGGTCTCTGTACTTCAAGTTGAAGGTATCCTCAGGTACGTAGTGATCATAGAGTGTATGTTCAAAAGGAGAAAGGTGGTTGGAGGCCCTGAGCACACGGCCAAACCTGTCAGTTTCACTGTCTGGGGAGGGGTGGCTAGGCTCTTGCCCTAAGGAATCACCTGTGAGTGCCTCTAAGTTTTGCTTCATGGGCTAATTAAATTGCTAGAGAATCTGGGAGCCCAGTAGGCAAAGATAGTTGGGGGCTTCGGTGTTCACTTTGTCAATATTTACTTATTTGTCCTATTTATCATTATTATCCTTACTCTGGTTTGAGTCTAGATACCCTATGTTTGCCTTTTCAGAGAATTACCTGTCAAGAGTGAAGAGAAGAGGGTCACCAGTCTTCGTGGGGAGGGAGAGGGTATTTAGGGCTTTAACTGCCTCTCAGACTTGCAAGCCAGCCTCACAGTTTTGCCCCATCTTCACCTCCGTTTCTAGCAGTAGTGGAGGTTTCTCTCCTGCAAATGGTGCTTCTGTTTCCATACAGCTTTTGCACAGACCTCCATTGTGGTGCCATCGTTTCCGCTCCCATTCTGTAAGATCCTGTATTTTTAACTGGCCCTTCAGGTTAAGTGTGATTTCTAGATAGAGTGAAAGTAAATACTTGTGCCTGACTCACCGTCTGCATTGGGCAGCCTAGTAGTTCATCCTTGAACTTTGACTCTTCAGCCTATTTGCTTTTTAACTTCCAAAAACAAAATTTTAATTTCCAGGACTTTCAGTTGATTCTTTTTTATGTGCACAATATCCTTCCTATCTCTCGGAGACCATTAACTACACTTAAACATTCGTAGATTAGTATATGTGTAAGTCATTACTTTAACCACCTCCTATGCTTATTGTTTGCTGTTAATTCTGCATCGTTGCCATCCTCCTCTCCATTTCCCCCTGCTTCTCAGGGGGAAACTCATGTACCTTACACAATGTCTTTTCCCACAAAGTGCCATGTTAGGTTCTGTCAATGAGAGAGAGTCCCAGTAGAGGTGGAAGACACCAGAGAAGGTAGCAGGCAGAGAAGGTAACAGTTGCCTGCTGTGGACAGGGAATTGAGATCACACTTGCTTCCTTCTGGGGCATAGGTTCACACACTGCCTGCACTAGGTGCTAGTTACATCTAAGTGGCTCATTCAGCCTTCCTTCAAGAAGGCTATGTATATCAGTTGCCTGGGGCGAAAAGTCCTTATTGCTCTCCTGTGGGTGGTGGGTGCTCCTGACGACACACCCCCTTTCTCCTTCAGGGTTAGCCCCAGTGTAGTTCCCATCTTTTATCAAATTTGGCATCTCCGTTCTAGCCCTGTGCCACGTGCTGCAGTCACAGATTCCTCGGCTCCACAGTCCCCACTCTTCCATCAGATTTATATTTCTCATTAATGTGATTAAATGTCTCCTCACCTGGGAGCCCCCTCTATTCTTTATGTCGTTTGGAGTTAGATCTTTTCTGTTCATATACTATTTCAGTGGGGCCTAGCTGTCTACTACCTAGAACCAAGAATTTAGAGATTACCTTTCAGCTTTTTTCAACTTTCAATTTTATTAAGTAAAATAAAATTTACATTCATGACCCCAGAAAGATAAATGTCACCCTCTTTTCTTTAACCAGGTATAACATAGCAACGCTTTAACATTCATTTCTTTACGTCTTTTGTACCTCTTTTTTTTAATATTTATTTTTTGAGAGAGAGAGAGACAGACTATGAGTAGGGGAGTGGCAGAGAGAGAGGAAGACACAGTTTCCAAAGCAGCCTCAATGACAGAGGCTGAGCTGTCAGCATAGAGCCCAACGCAGGGCTCGAACCCATGGTCCGTGAGATCATGACCCAAGCTGAAGTCAGAGGCTCAACCGACTGAGCCACCCAGGTGCCTGTCTTTAAGTCTTTTTAAAAAAATTTTTATGTAAAATTTGTTCCTGAACCAGTTAAATTATGTATTACACTTCTCACAAAACTTTTTAACATGTAAGATAAATTTTCTATAGTCCATTAAGAAGACAAATAGTTTGGTTTATTTCTATTCATCTAGCTAGTAGTTCAAAATAATATGTTAATTAAAAAATTAATCTTGGTGATGAATATTCTAAGTTTTAAAGTTTTAAAAATTTTGCCTGTCAATTTAAATGTTCTTTATCATTTCATGTTCTACATCTCTAATAAACAAGAGATTAAGAAACAACTAAAATATTTCTGTATGAATTATTGCTGAAAACTCAAATAAGATATTTAGTTTTTCTATTAGCTGATAAGCAAGAGAATAGTGTGTTTCTATAATTTGCCAGTGCTTCATCCTACATGAAAAGTTACGTTTGTTTTACTGCAGTGCACTGGGCATAAGGCAAGGTGATTCAATCTCTTGGAAGCAGAGATACCAAATAAAATACAGGATATCTAATTAACTTTTAATTTAGTTAAAAATGACTTTTTTATTTTGTATGTGTGACTCATTTGTTTATTGCTGTTGCTAAATCTACCAAGCCTAGTTGGAGGTGATGGAGGGAGAGGAAGTAGATGGAGATTTCCCACCAAAATGCTTTCACTGAATTATTTGAGTTTACGCCTTTGACTTTTATTAAAGAACAATATTTGCATGCTTTTCAAAACTATTATTTAAAGTTATGTTTCTTTTTTATGTAAAGATACATGTGACAACTTTCTCTTAGCTAGAAAAAGGATATTCTTTCCCAAAGAATAGTCATGACTTCTGTGGTCCGTTGTGGGTATTTTTGTTCCCTTTGACTAACAAGAAATTCAAAACTAACCTCATATGAAATGTAGTACTCATATTTTCTTGTATTCACAGCAAAATTCCTCCAGTTCTAATTTTATACTTAGTCTCTGATTTTCTTTCATACGTTAGTGTTAAAAGATTATTATGTTTCAAATTGTTATCTTAAATCTTTCCTTCATTTATTTATATTTTAAATTATAAAAATAAAGTGTATGTTTAAAGATACCTGGATGTTGTCATACCAGGGGTACCTGGCTGGCTCAGTAGAGCGTGCAACTCTTAATCTCGGGGTCCTGAGTTCGAGCCCCATATTAAGGGTAGAGTTTATTTAAAAATATCTGTACCTTGTCTATAACAGTTTGTTGGCTTTAATGACAATCCCAACAATATAGATTTCCCAGGTATCCCAATGGTGTTCAATAATTCCAAAACCATGACGGAATTAAAACTGACATTGTCTAATATATCTTAAGAATCATGTCTTTGTCAACGTAAAATTATCTTCTTTACTTATAAGGCAAAAGTGTAATCAAAAGGACAACATAAAGAAAGAATGTTATCAACGTTTTTCATAAAGATAATTATATCCTTGAGAATTAATTAATTTCTACTTTAATTAATATTCTAGATATTGCAGTTCTCTTGTTTTTATCTCAGAAAATAAGAAGATAGTAAGCATAACAAGAAAAAATTCTGTAACACATTGGAACCTCAGACAACCTTGATTTCTCATGGCATCTTTTAGAAATTACACTAATAAAAATGCATAATTGTTTGGAAGAGGAGAAAGCAGTAAGCTAGTAGGCCTGAAATGTTAAGCTACCTCTTATGTCAAGAGAAATTATAGTGTTTATGTATGATATTTATACCCTTACTATTTAATTTAATTTAAAAATAGTAAAGGCAAGGAAGGTTTTGAAAATTAAGAAATGAATTTTGTTGACTTGGATAGTGATGCTATCACATAATTTTAATAAATAATATTTCAGAAAGTTACTATTGTCATGGACAGGTTCTATGTAAATTGGTATATGTTCTTATCCATTTTGTTAGGACATCTAAAGTAATAGAAAGCACAATTTAAGCAAGCCTCGGTCTGGTAGTGTGACAGTATCTTCTTGTCTTTTAAGTAAGTGCGTTTAAAACTATAAACTTACACCTAAAATGTCATTTGAACAGATTACCAGCCTCTTGATGTTTATGTATTCTGATAGTCATTCAGTTCTAAAGATTTTATAATTTCTCTTATTAATACTTTCTTAGCTTATGGGTTATTTGGGAATGTTTTCTTTTTTTCAAATATGTTGGTTTTTGCCATCTTTTACTGTTGATTTTTCATTTAATTGCCTTGTCAGTGGATTTTATCTGTGTGATAAGATTTGAGAATTGTTAAGAACTCTTATGTTTCATATAAATTTGAAAAGAATGTATAGTGTCTGTGCACTCTCTTTAAAATATGTTGCATTCATTTGTTTTTTATAAATGTGTTTTGTGCTTTAAAAATGTCTTCTTAAATATTCCCAGTCATTGGGTGCAGATTTCTCTTATATCAGGCTTTTTAATTTACTTATTCAGGTTTTTAAAATCTTGCTAATTTGTGTCCGCTTGATTATCAGTTTCTTATAGGAGTCTGTTAAACTCCACTATTCTTGTTATGCTGTTGAGTTTTACTTTATTTATTTTCAAAAATAATAATAAATAATTTTTTCCTTCTTATTCTTAGTATAAAATTTGAAAATTGTACTTTTACTACATATTATCTATCCCTGAGTGTCAAAACTTTACATGCTTACCTCAGTATCAACTGTCTCACATATCAACATATAAAAAGAATATGAAAGATGAACTGTTTAATGTGTCCATTTTATTCTCTCCTTTTAGAAGAGAAGGAGCAATATGTCAAGTATATTTCAGTGAAGCTGGGGTGGGGTGGTGGGGATAGGCAAGGAGAAGAAAAGACATTACGTGTATGTTACCTGTGGCAGATGTTAGGAAAAAAAAGAGAGAAGTTGAAGAGAAGCCTTAAAGATTCAACACCTAACTGTTGTCCTTAATGAAATGATTCCAGAACACAGAGTTTTGGTAGTCAACACAAAGCATTTCCAGAAAATGTTCCTAGTGTAGCCAGGAGAGACACCCCCAGTTTTTGTCCCCATTGCTTCTGCCCAAATGCTGAATGTTTGGACCATTTCACTCATTTGCATGGCCCCTGGTCTGAGATATCTGAGAAAGGGGTGATTTGGAGAATCCCTGACACTCATCTGGCATATAGCAGAGCAAATAGCACTTATTGCCTGTTCTGGGCATTGTTTTATAACATTCATACTGATTTTACTTTGTAAAGTCCCTTTCCTACAAGCATATATATGAAAGCACATGATATATTTATGCACTTGGCTCAACATAATAGATGAGTTTGTAGAAACCATATTCAGAGAAGTTTCTACTAAAATCTTTTTCTTCCCCCTCAAACACTACTTTTGAAGTAAATGGAAGCTCTGCAAACTTTGGAGACATGATAGGTGAAATTCTCTCTTACAAAAAATTCAAGTACTGAGATAAGCTATCAACAACTGCACTATTTACTATTGAAGTAAATAGTAACATGGTAATATAAGCAATATTAGTAGTAATAGTAAATGTGACTACACTCTTGGAGAGAGGGAGAGAGTTAACTGTCTACCAACATAGGTGTGTACCAGTACCTGAGGGTTTGTTGTATACTCTTATATGGACCTTCCATTCTGTGGTAGGATTGCAGCAATTATGAACAAATAATGGGAGCTAAATCTGGGCAGGCATTTTCCTATGAAAACTAATTACATTTTTAGATGCTGCGTTATTAATAACCAGTCATAGACAATGAATTACGAGAAAATTTATATGAGCTGATAGGTTTTTGTTTTGCTGATATTAGTTTTCTTTCTAAGCCCAGATAAAATGAGGATTTCTTAGAATGCAGTTTACCAAAACTGATGTGAGTAGAGACAGAAAGCTTAAATCAATGAATTCTCATAGAAGAAATAGAGAAATTTATTGAGAAATTATAAGCACAAAGATACACCAGGCCCAGATGATTGCACAGGGGATCTTAACTAAACTTCCAGAAACCAGGCAGTCCCAATGTTTTAACACTGTTTCAGAGTATAGCAAATAAAGGAAAATTTACACATTCTTTTAATGATGTAAGTATAACATGATGGTCCTAATAATGGTGGTACAAAAAAGGACACCACAGTCCTATATCATTTATGACAGTTGATACAAACATCTTAAATGCAATATTAGAAATAAATTCCCAAGCCACATTAAGAAAACAACATACCATCACCTGGTTTCTTAATACCAGAGGTGCAAGAATCTGAGTAGGCTTCTTACTAACAGGTCTAAGAAGAAAAAGCAAATGATTGCCTCTACAGATGCTGAAAAAGACCCTTGAAGAAAGCAAGACCTATTTTCAACAAGGAATATTAAAGAAAATTGCAATGAATGGATACTTTCTTAACATGATAAAATTAAGGGCTAGATAAACACATATGAAAAATACATATCTAAAATATATGTCTAAAATTATTAGTTTATTTGAAATTAGAATCTCATGGGGTGTCGTGTATTTTAATTTACTAAATCTGATAATCATAAATACAATGTATGTACCTCAACCCTAAAAATGGCTCTTTATTTAATGGGGAAACACTGGAGGCATTTCTACTAACATCGGAAAACAGAGCAAATGATCCCCCTATCTCCACGACTGTTACACTGTTCTGGCCATATTAGCCAGTGAAATTTGATAAGAAAAAAACAGTTATAGGCATAAGAGTTGGAAAATAAAAAGTAACATTCTATTTGAATAAGTCAGGGGACTTAATCACAAAACTAATTCAAATAAAATAATTCAGGAAGATATCAGGATATAAATTTAGCATTCAAAAACTAATAACTTCCTGGGTGCCTGGGTGGCTCAGTCAGTTGAATGTCAGACTCTTGATTTTAGCTCAGGTCAAAATCTCAGGGTCATGGGATCAAGTCCCACGTCAGGCTCTGTGCTAGGCATGGAGCCTGCTTGAGATTTCTCAGATTCTCTCTCCCTCTACTTCCTCCCTTCCCATTCCTGCTTATGTATATGCTCTCTCTCTCTCTCAAAAATAATTACATATATATATATAAATGAGTAACTTCCTAAAAGTGAAAATAAACCCTTACATTATATGATGAATGAGAAAACCTCTTTTATAATAGTAGTGAAAAAGATTTAGGAATAAACCTAGGAAGAAATGTACAAAACCAGGAAACTTTTTGGAAGTGATTGGAAGTATCCTGTATTTTGATTGTGGAAGTGATTTCAAGTGTATACGCCTGTCAAAACTCATCAAATTGTAAACTTTAAATGAATTGTATTTACTGTTAAATCTCAATAAAGTGGATCTAAAGGTAAATTACTGTGCAAAACCTATATGGGGAAAGCTATGAAAAAACGCCTAAAGATGGAAGAAGAGACTCAAGCAAATAGACCTCTCTCCTCTAGGATAGGATATCTCATCAAAATGTTAGTTCTTCCTAATGTAACTTAAAATTTTTTTGTGATTCCAATAGATATGCCAGTATTCCTTTTTTTCCTGGAGGTTGCCATGTTGATGTTCAAGTTCATACGGAAAAAAGCATTCAGGGATATCTAGAAAAGCACTGAAAAGAAAGCACTAAGACGGCATCTGGAACAACTAGATATTAAAACATTTTTCAAAGCCTCTATAATTAGTGTGATACTTTGTACTAGCACTTGAGTACACAATTCAGTGAAATAGAATAGAAAGTCCAGAAATAATACCCAAGTACATATGGATATTTAGTAAATGATAAAAAGCAGTATCTTAAATCACTGGGCAAAGAGATATTCTGATAAATGATATTGGGGCAAGTGGATAGCTATTTGAGGAAATATTCACAAGTTAAACAAAAACTGTAAATGAGTCAGAAATAATAAAATTACACAAGTATTAAAATATAGATGAACCTTGAGTAGGGAAAGGTATGCTATGACTCAAAATCTGGACGCAATAAAAAGGAAACATTGCCCTTGTGCATAAAAATTTATTCAGCCTCACAAGTAAAAATTAAAACAGGGCAGGTGCCTGGGTAGCTCAGTGGGTTAAAGCAACCAACTTTGGCTCAGGTCATGATCTTGCTATTCAAGAGTTCAAGCCCTGTGACAGGCTCTGTGCTGACACCTGAGAGCCTGGAGCCTGTTTCAGATTCTGTGTCTTCCTCTTTCTCTCGCCCCTCCCTTGCTTGTGCTCTGTCTCTCTCTCTCTCTACCAAAAATAAATAAACATTAAAAAATTTTTTTTAATTGAAACTACACTGAGGTATCAATCATGAGGTTGACAAAAATTCAAATGCTTGACAAATGAGTTCTGTTGGGTAAGGTCATGTGGAAATAAACACTCTTATACACTGTTTATGGGGATACAAAATGATGTAAGCCCTGAGGAGAGGATTTGGTAATGTATAAGAAAACTACATAGCACTTAAAACCACACTACATCATTGACTGGCCTCTAGAAAGACTAAGATTGACCATACTATGCAATAGTGAAAATGTACTGTAGCTGGAACTCGCATACATTATGGTGCGTATGTAAAACAACCATTTTGGAAAATAGTGCAGCATTTTCTTAAACAGTTAAACTTATGCGCACTATACATCCCAAACATTTCAATTCAGTCAAGATTTCCTATCAAAGTATTAGCAAAATATGCATGATCCATCATCAATGGGGGCAAAGAAACTCGAGATTCAGTATTACCTTTATGTTGTACTTTTGTTTTTTGGTGTGTTTGGTTAAAAAAAAAAGTACAGACTCTGAGTGAGACGGGCCTGGATTTGAACCCTATTTCCACCATTTGTTAGTCAAAGATTCAGGCAAGTAACTATCTTTAATTTCTTCACCAGGGTTGTTGTGATGGTTAAATGAATCGATGAATGTAAAACCCCTGGAGAACAGAGAGCACAATAAATGTTAGCAATTTTGGAAAGAAAATAATGTACTTATTACGCTAACATTTAATAGGTCTATACTTATCCACACCCCCACACGAAATAGGAAGCCTCCCTGCTGAGCACAACCACCTCTCATCTCTTAACATGTACAACTCTAGGAAAGGCCTGGGGTACTAACTGTATACTGTTCAAAAATGTGAGTTATATAAAACTCAGGATCCATTTATGTGTAATAGCAGGCACAACCCCTCTGATTGCAGACAGGGCAGG